ATGTGGAGCATCAAGTGCCTTGTGAAAATGTCAACTAATTGGTCTTAGGGGAAAAAACAATAATATCGAGTAATTTTATAGCAACCCTTTCATGGACAAAATGGTAGTCCAATTCAATATGTTTGGTTCGAGAGTGAAGAACAGGATTAGAAGCAAGGTAAGTGGCTCTAATATTGTCACAGCAAAGAAAGCGAGATTGAGGAAGAACACTACCAAGTTCACGGAGTTAAGATAGGATCCGGATGAGATCACAAGTGGCTAGAGCAAGTGGTCTATATTCAGCTTCAATTGACAACAAGAGACAGTTGGTTGTTTGCTAGAGCTCCAAGAAAGAAGATTGGAACCAAAGAAAACAAAACAACACTATTAGAAAAATACAAATTAGCGAGGAAATTTAGCGAGGGATTGTTTATTCCTCTCTAAAATACCAAGTTAGCGAGAAAATTAGCAAGAGACTGTCAATCCCTCTCTAAAATAAGAGAATTAGCGAGAAAAATAGTGACGGACTGTCAATCCCTCTCTAAAATAAGATAATTAGCGAGGGATTCTATTCCTAGTTAATTACTACAAAAAAAAATTAACTTTTGATAATGAATTTTAATTATACATTTAATTATTTTCATTTAAAAATAATAATTAAATTTAAAAATTAACTAAAATATTCATAATAAAATTATTTAATATTTTCTTTATTTTAAGTTAATTTTCATTAATAAAATAATATTTTATTAAAAATATAATATAAAGAATAATTTAAATAAAATATAAATATTTTTAACATATTAATGATTGAAAATAAAATTTAATATGTATATGTGTGTATTTTTATAATATATTATTTGATATATTTATGTAGTTAAATAATATATATATATATATACATATTTAATTTTTTATATAATGCTTGTAGGTACCTTTCAGTTCAATTGGTAAAGAAGGAGAGCATAAAATTTAGAAGGTATGAGGTCAAGGGTTCAAACCTTGACTTTGGCATAAACATGATGAATATATGATATGGTAAGGAGTAAGTGACATGACGTAAGGTGGACAATGACGTGTCATGAGTTGTCGCACATGTAGTGGGTGATAGGGCACGAGATGGTAGGTGACATGATGGTTGACAAAGCATGAGGTTATTGATGACATGTCACAAGTTGACATCACACATAGCGGGTGATATGGCATAATTATTTTTAAATATAAGCATATTTAGCGAGGGATTAGTGAGGGGTTGATTCTTCGCTAAAGTTATCAAATTTTGAATAGTATTAGAGAGAGATTAGCGAAGAATTCAGTCCCTAGCTAATTTTAGTGGGGGATTGAATCCCTTGCTAAATCCCTCACTAATTAGCGAGGGAAATACAATTCTTCGCTAAATTTAGAGAGCCCTTTTTTAGCTACGAATTTAGTGAGAGATAAAATTCTTAGCTAAAATGCAATTTAGCTACAAAAAATGGCATTTAGCGAGGGATTCGTCCCTCGTTAAATTCCATTTTTCTAGTAGTGCAACCTCCTGTAGATTTTCTGTCATGGAGACAGCTTGCCCCGTCTGCATTAGAGTAGGCAATAAGAGCAGAGAAAGATTATTTTTAAAGATGAATACCAAAATCAGAAGTGTGCTTTAGGTCATGCAAAATGCATTTGACAGCAAACTAGTGAGTGTCTTTTGGAGAGTGAAGGAAATGACACACTTTGTTAACAGCATAGAAATGTTCAGTCTCTGTGAAGGAGAGAGGTATTGAAGATTACCTACACGCTGCAAAAAGAGTGATGTCTTTGAAATCAAACCCATTTGTAATTGAGAGTTTTCTACAAGTTGCAATAGGAGACCAAACAGTTTTGCAATATAACTTATTGGTTTTCCTAAGGAGATCAGCGATATATTTTCTCTATATAAGAACAGACTAGATGATGTTTGAACGACCTCAATGCCCAGAAAACAGTGTAGGGGGCCTAGATCCTTAATAGGGAAATGAGTTTTTAAAGTAGTAAATAGGTGCTCAACAGCTTCAGAGTCAAATCCAGTTATCAAAATATCATCAACATAAATTAAAATGTATAAGATAGAGGTTGCAATCAATTTGACAAATAGAGAGGCATCAGACTTAGAAAGAATAAATCCAATAATAGTAAAAAAACTGCTTAATCTTAAGAACAAGCTCGAGGAGCCTATTTAAGGCCACAGAGGGACTTTCTAAGTTTGCAAACATGATTAGGAATGTCAAGATGTTTAAATCCAGATGGTTGGTGCATGTAAATATCTTCATTGGGATAGCCATGGTGGTATGCATTTTGAATATCAATATGCTTTATACACTAGCCAGAATACACAATAATAGAGTTAGGAATACGAGTGGACTTAATGAGCCACCCGTTTAACCTCATTTTTATAAAGGTTCGGGCTTGAAAAAATAAAGATGTTTAGTGTAACCATACTTTTAAACCAAGTCCTATTAAGCTTTGTAAAAATTAGCTCAAGCTCGGATGACCCTTAAAGCTCTCATTAATTTTTTTTTAAAAAATTACATTAAAAAATTAAAAAAGAAGGAAACATGAATGTTCTGTAATTTATTTTCTAAGTTAGTTTATAAATAAGGTTTGTGGCCATGAACTATATCTCACTTTTGTTTCCTTGGTGAATTTTTTATTTAAAATATTTTCATAATAGTGTGTTATTGTAAAACAATTATTGGTTTGGTTCTTTGTTTTGTTAAACAAGTTTAGGTGTGGAATAATTGATTCCTCTTACTTCTAATTTAAATTTAAGTTGTCATGGTTACATTGGTTGTGTTGGTGGTTCTATGATGAAAGACTATTTATATATATATATATATATATATAGGACCGTCTTAAAGATTTAGAATTGGATCTCTTCTCTCATCCTATCTAGATACAATTTATACATGTATATCTCAAGTGATTAGCAAGTAAAAACTTAACTTATGATTGTGACAAAATTGAGGATCTAGATTTGTTTTATTTATTTTGATTTTTAAAAAATTTTAATTAATTTATAATGTTATAATGTTAAATTTTATTTTTTTTGAAAAATAATTTTGTTAAGAAAAGGACTTACAGCTTGGATCTGAGCCTTCAGAATTAAAGCCGATCTTTAAAAAATAATTAAATTTAAAGAAATTAAGCTTATGGGGTCGAGCCCTGTTTTCTAACTCTAAAAATGATCTAGCAGCGTGACATTTGGGATTGTGAAGGGCTATAGTGACCAAAGTAGGGGCCTTAGGAGGAGTGTTGGTAGAAGCAACAAAGGCTTTTGGGGGTCACCAACAAATTGTACTATCCTAAAATAGCTTTAGCTTAAGGGAGTAGGCTTGGCTTCTAGTGAGCATACAAGGTGGCAGGGAGGGAGAAGAGAGAGATGTGTCAAATGCTTGAGCAAAGGATGCAAACAACGAGGTAAATTACGTGGGGAGGGAAAGTGGCGGGGATATATGTATTGGAATGGGCAGGGTATCAGTTTTTGAAGTGGATTGGGTATTATTGAATTTATTAATTTGGGCTACATGAAAGAAATCCTCTGGAAAACGCATGTCTCTAGACACATAGGTCATAGCTGAATTAGGCTCAAAACATAAATAGGCATGGTGATTGTATGGCTTGAGATGAGGCTCACACACATCCAAAGACTTTTAAAAGGATGTAATAAGGTAAATGATTGAATATTTACACACCCCAAATTTTGGTATGACTGGTTTGAAATATGAGAAAATTCATATCCTTTAACCTGGAACATGGATTATTTTTACATGCAAACTATAGACATATTCACAATATAAAATATATTATTTTTAATATATTTAATATGAGCAAAATAAAAGAAAAAATTCTTATAAAAATTTCAATCAAAACCTCTCCCATAAATAAGAATTTCCAAAATTTTACAACAAAGAACAACAACAATCCAATAATAGGAGCTCTACTCCATACCAACGGATATAAAGTCTTATAAGAAAGATAATAGGATCCTACCTATAGTATACGTGGAATATCTAGTGTAAAATAATATAAAGTTCAAATTTACATCAAGTAGAGGCTTGTCTGAAATAATTCTTCTACTTCACTTTAGTGATAAAACCCCTCAATGACTACATCAAGATATAGGTTCAGCCATACCATCTAAAACCAAAATATTTTCCAATAGTAAAATTAAAAGAATGAAGATGAATAAATTCAAATAATTATATATAAAATAAAGAAAAAACAATCAATATAATATAATAATTGAACTTAGAAAATAAGAAATTCTATATAGCTTTAAAAATACTGAACCATTAAATTTATAATAGCAAAGTAGCCTCAGCACTTGTTCTAGGAAATCAATAGACTATATAAACAGAAAAGCAGTGAAAACGTTAACTAATTGAAACCAATGGAATCTAGATGCACAAATCAATTAAAAAAATTCATATTTTCATGGATTTATCAAAACAAGTAATAAATGTGGACATATAGTCTACAAGAATAAATAATTAAATGTGGCTTATACCACAAAGATAAATATGGACACAATCGATGAGAGTTAGTAACCAAATGTAACTTGAATCGTGAAAACAAACGTGGACACAAAATCCACAAGAGTAATACTAACCAAACACGACTCAAAGCTGTAATAACCCTAAATTTTAAATTAAATAAATTCTCTTCAAATTGATATTTAATTTATTTATTTTAAGTCTATGACAAGTGAAGAGTAGAGGCTTGGTGAAATTTATACTGGTTATTTAGATGGAGGTCTAGAGTTGAATATTATTTGAGCCAAATGTTAGTTTTATTTTTTTTATATGAAAAACTATTAAAGTGCTCCTTACTTCTTATATATATAAACATATTATAAATAGAATATTAATATGATGAGGCCTTGATTGATAATTTTTTTCAAATAGCCTTGGTCTAATTTTGTAATTTTGCCCACAAGCTTTATATTTTATTTCTGCTTTTCTCTTTGTCGGTGAGATTGGCAGAGGAGAGCGAGGGAGTTTCGCGAGAGTTCTCTGTTTTTCTTTCCTTCTCTGTTATGCAAGCTTCGTTCTTATCGGCAGTGGACTTGCCTCCTCACCGCCAGCTGTACATCTCTTCTGTTACTTCATGTGGGTGTTCGTTTCTGTCAGGATGGAGTAGCTGAATCCCTCTCTCGTTTTTGCTCTATTTCATGGCTGTTAGAGAAAGAAACACGCTGAACCAGAGAAGAAAGCTTTCGAACTTCCACCGTTTCCTCCGTCTCTTCCCTCTCTTCCTCCGCCATTTTCGAACATTGCTGGCATGCGTGAGCATGAAAGTTGTAGCTGTTGATGCACAAAACGTAGAGTATGATTTTTTTCCTCTCTTCCTTGCTTTGAGTTGCTGTTAATCGCTGCTTGGGGGTGTTTTGTCACACCTAAAATCTTGCTGCTATCAGAGGAGAGATGAACAGGTCATGGGTGGTCTGAACATCCTTGTTCTTTCTCTCTTTGTGCATCACCGTAGGTATTACTCTTGCTTCGTGGATCCCTCTTCCTTTGTTTTTTGTTGATCTCTCTCCCCTCCCCTCCCCTCTTTATCATTACTGCAGAATCATGTTTGGAGTTTTAAACCCTTCTTCCAGAAATTTCTGTGCGTGTAAATGTGTTGTAAAATTTGTCTTCTTTGCCAAGTTTGTGCGTGTGGGTGGCTGTAGTGATGGAATGGGAGCTGTGATTTTGCTTTCGTGTTGCCATGTGAGATGTGAACGATGATGATTTAATTTTCTTAAGTTATGATTGATTTATTCAATGAGGAAAGGGAACTTAAGGAGCTGATTTGTTCATTAGTTTATATATTAAACAATTCTGAGAGATGGAATCAAAGAGGATGAAGTTGGTTTGAACTTGAAAAAAAAAATTAGTGCATATGAGGTGTTTGACATTATGCTTGTTAGAAGAAGCTTTATTTGATTTTTTTTAACTTCATTGATCCTTGTGAATAATATGTTCAAATTGAGTGTTAATACTCTAAGAACTTAAGTTGAAGATTCCAAAGGATATTTGAGCATGAAATTAGTATCAAACTATTTGAATTCTTAGAAAAAATACAGTTGTGGATGAATTTTGTGATAAGAGATTGGAATTCTAAAAGATCTGGATTGGAAATGATACATGGTTAGCATTTGTAAAAAAAAAAACAAGAAGAAGAAGATTAAGGAGAGATGGTATTTTAATAGAATATTGAGCTATGGCTTTTGAGGAATTTTTATGTGTAAAGTTTGCTCTCAAAATTTCAAATTTACTATAGCAAAATTTTGGTAGTAAAAATGTTAAGAGGAAATAGTTGAAATTATAAATAGTTTATTTAAAAATCTTAATTTAATTTATAGAGTATTTGGAGGAGGAGAAATTTTATAGGTATGGAAAGGTGAATCCTTGGATTTTGAGAATTTTAGGTAAGTGGATAGCGTCCCAATTGATTTTCTAATAAGAAACTTTCTTTACTAAAATATTACATTTTTATGCAAATCATTTTAATAACAATTATGTGATTATTGAATAATTTGTTGATTAAACTTTCTTATTTTATGAAATTACCTTTATCAGTTTTGTGATGTTAGTTAATCAATAAATACAAGTTTGGACTTTGACTATAAGATTTTATTCTATCATATGTTGGATTGGTATAGAAAATGTTTCATGCGAGTTCAACAATGAAAAGAAAAAATTTGATTTAATAATGATCATTTTCTCGCATGTTTAAAATTAAATTTGAAAGGGACTTTATATAGAATATTGGTTGCTAACGGCAGTTCTGTTAGCCCTTAGCACCATGGTCAATGACTAGCTAGTTTGATTTTCGTGAGCTTTGTTCTCACATTTGTTATTCATGGGTCTTGTGCCTGCGTTTGATTTCATGGCTTCGCACTATCCTCGTAGACTTTGTGTCCACGTTTGTTTCGTGGCTTCAGCCGCGTTTGGTTACTTACCCTCGTGGGCTGTGTGTCCGCATTTGGTTACTTGTTATGATAAGTCCCTATAATTATGAGTTTTAAATTGTTTGATAAACCTATTTTTCATTGGTTTTGATTAATGACATATTTATAATTATTTGTCGCAGTTATTTGCTTTATTGAAAATAAATGATAATGACATTTGATATGAGGCTTTCATGAATCAGGATTTTATTTAACATTACATAGAGTCCTTTTATGTTGAAGTTTATTTAATATTTATTTGCAAAAATAGTGATTTCTAGGATACATAATTGTTTTAAAACTTCTTTTTATACTTATTTCATAACCTATTGCTGTGATGCTATTCATTGAAAATTTATTTTGGTCTCAGACTTATTAGTTGACACTGGTCCTACTGCCGACTTTTAAAGGGCACACAACTATTCTAGGTGGTATTTTCCCTACCATTATCTCCCTTTTAATGTAAATATTTAAACTCACGTATTTTATTTTGGAAAGTAATTAAGGTTGGGTGCTTCACCTAGCCTATAGCTATATTTATATTTTGTTATATGTTGTCTGTTGGCTGGAAGGAGCTAAACTCCTGATTGAAACTATATTTTGTATAAAATATTGTGTTTTAGGATATTTGGGAGATCCTATTTATAGGGGAGGTTCTGTTAAAATTTTTACGAAAATATACAATCTTTTATTATAATGATTTTTTTATTAAGTATATTATAATTTCAGTACAAATTTAATTATGTTGTAAAATGAAAAGATTTCTCAATTTGGGACTTAAGGGATGTATGATATCGTTTACATCTTGTGCCGGTCACCCTCTGTTTTTTTTTAGGGTGTGACAAAAGCCATAAAATCAAAAGCAGGTACAAGCCCTATCAATAACAAATGTAAGAACAGAGCTCATGAAAATTAAACTAGCTAGTAATTGACCATAGCAAGCTATGAACTAACAGAACTTTCATTTTTAACTAGTGTTCTGCGTATAGTTCTCTTAAAAATCAAATTTCAAACATGCATGAAAAATTTATAACATTTCATAATTTCCTTAACAAATTCCACAAATATCATCAGATAAAAATCATTTAAAAATATATATAAACAATTTTTCAATCCAATATTATATGTTTCACAAGCTAGAAAGATTTATTTACCAACATATCAATAATGGATATATTTATCAATGGAGGTGATTAAACAAAGACAAACAAAATACTATTTTGAATAAAGAATTTTTACTAATAAATTAGTTACCATGCTATCTACTTATTTGCTACATTCCCAAATATAGATTGATCTTACTTCCAAATTAGTCTTCTAGTGACAATTTCTAGTCTTTAAATTCCTATTGCCCAAGTAGCACCATTGTTATTTTCTTTTACATGCTTGATCAACCAGAATCTTTAATCCAAAATAATTTAAAGAAATAAAATAAGAAAATCTTCACGTCAAACTTTCTCAAACATTGCATCAAACAGTCTAAAGATATTCCAAATACAAAAATATAAATAGAAAATTAGCTCTTGAATCACAAGTCAAGATTCTTATACCAAAAATCTATAATTTCAGTCTCAACTTCCATTATTGAATATCTTCCATAATATTTTAATTAACAGCAATACAGTCATCACATATATTTGCCATCATAAATAAATTTCTCCTAACGAACATTTTATCCAATACTTCAACTAATACCAAGCTTCTTCCTCTTCAAATCCATTTCTTCAACAAAAATCAATTTTTTAAGCTCAAAGAAGCGCATCCACATTCATCTTCATCGACAATAACACAAAACAAATATATTGAAATTACCTAATGGAAATGTTCTTAGGCTTTAAATTTCAGCTTGCTCAAGTCCCCATCTCTAATCCTCACGTATAGCAGCTTAGATTAGCAAAGATAGAAGCAAGAAGAATGGCAATCTGGCCGTGCGAACATGCACTACTATAAAATTCTAAATATTTGATGCCTCAAAATATGACGGTTATAAGAAAAATCGTGATATAAAGGAAAGGCAGAAGACACTCTCATAATATATGATGGGTGTTTATAACACTAATCATATAATGTTTCATTATATATGACGAGTGTTTACACGCCCGACATATAAAGGATCAAATTCTATATATTTAAAAAAATTTAAAAAATTGCAAATATTATATGACGGGTGTTTGCATGGCCCGTCGTCTATCTTTAAGTCAATATATAAAGATATATGACAGTTATAAACCTAACCGTCATATATCTTATCTTAGATCAAATATTAGCAAAAAAATTGTGTGCCCCTTCCTTTGCTTCTTTACCCTGAACCCTATTATGCTTGAACACCATCAATCCTTGCTACTAAGTTCCATATTATTTCCATTGAAGATCTCATCCGAACCTCCAAATGGTTCCGCCGCTGCCATCATTTTCCTTTGTGTCGCCACTGTAATATGCTATGTTCACTGGAGTGACCATGGGCACTGACGACTCTGCTGCAGATATCAAGTAAAAGAGATTCTCAGTATGAATCTTGCACGCACACACACACAGATATATATATATATATAAGAAACTCAAGGTACTTTAAATATTTGCATGAACTAGTGTGCTTTAGTTTTGTTTTCCTTTTTGATTCCATATACTGGCGACGAAAGTAATGAAGAGGTGAAAGCTAGGGCAAGAGAGGAAATGCCTGAAGAGCCACGGGTCATAGTTGTTGATAAGGTTCTATGATAAGATTTGATTTTAGGATATTTAGTATTGATTTTGCTGACATTACAAGGGTATTATTCTGAGAATTGGTAACATGAAAAAACTGTTTTCTCTCAAGTAGTTTGAGAGCTTAAAGATATTTTTTTAAAACAACTTTCTGGTTGTTTTTTGTAATTGCACAAATAATTTTATTAGGTATATTGTAGGATTCCATATGGAGAGTTTCTTCTACTTGATTTATTGGGTTTATTTTTCTTGTTCTATAAATGATAATTTTTGACATTTCTATGCATGTTGATCAATGCTAATTGTGAGTGCCTTGATGAATGTTTTCACCGTACTAGATTTGTGAGGACTTCTTTTCCTTTTTTTTTTTTTGATAAATCAAAAACAGACTCTTGAGGGCTTATAAGATCAAGGCTATATGTGTGTTACTTTAAGACAAATGACAGTAATTGCAAGAAGATTGGCTTTTTTTTTTTTAATGAAATATCACCTATGACTACTATAAATTTCTTTCTGATTGTTGTTACAGGTATTACTATGCTCCTTTTGCTTCTGATCCTAAAGATTAGCTAATATGGAAATAACCTCTTTTTTGGAGAAATTTAAGCCATTTGATCTACTTATGGGGACCTTGCTTCAAGGTTTCCGTTCCTTTCCTATTCTTATATCTTTTCTGTTGCGCTTCCTATTCTAATATATGTGCTTATCACTTTCTTGTTCCAAAATGCTCATTACTTTCTGATATACATGCCTAATGCCTATTAAGTACCCTTTGTATGTGCAAAGTTGTTCAATACAATTTACAATTTTCTTTTTTGGTGAATTTCAACAACATTACTTATCTTAATCCTCCTTGTAGTCATAGACACATTCTTAGTCATACCCAAAAAGGTGTGCATATTGTTGTTACTTTAACATTGGCAACTATATTGATTCATTGGGTCTCTGGTTCAGACTTGGTATGCATGCATGGATACATATGCATTGACTCATCATTGGATTTTGCTTTCTATTTTTTTTAAAGTTTTTAAATCAAACATGAAAATTACATATTGATCTTTGTCTTATTTTTGGTTCACTAATGTGTATCACATTTGCTTTAGAATCTATTGTCTGTAGATTTTTGAAAACCGTTGATATCGAAGTCCCTGATCTACGTACAGCATGAAGACAATATAGGTCCGAGATATGGAATGGATAGGTGAGGATCTATTGCTAAGGTTTACAAATTTCTTTTGATACTCTTGGGACACAGTATTACTTATTATTATATTAGAACCAATTGCTTTTAAATTCGTTACATTGATTTTGATATGGATTAGTGGACAATAATTGTTTTTTAAGTTGAATGAAATTATTTGGAATGCATTATATTTGTGAAACTAATTTGCCATTATTTCTATCCCAGTTCAATTGCATTGTTGTCTAGATAGGCTAAAAATAGAGTTAGTAGAAGCAGTATCATTAGTGTTTATAGTTTTACTAGTTTTCAATACTTGATATTAATTGATACATTAGTTTACTTTAGAAAACTCTATACATTGATTACTTGATATATTAGAATAAGAGATTTATTTTTATTTCATTTTGCATTAATTACAATCAAATTCAATTGATATTCATAAATAAAAAATGTTAGAATTGTTATTTGATCATTATTTTGTATAGCTATTACAGGGGTTGCTATAAACAATTAATAGCCTTCTTTTTTTAAAAAATAAAAAATAAATGACATTTATTTACTTAATCTTCATTTTAAGGCATAAAAAATACTCATCATTTATTGTGATTATAAAAGACTAGTATTTCATTTACATATCAAAGAATAAATGATGGGTAAATAAAATACTCATCATTTCTAGTCATAATAAATGATAGGTATTTTAAATATCCATCATTTATGTTTAGAATAAATGACGGAGAAATAACCATCATTTAAAGGGGTGATTTTAAATGACAGATGAATAAATGATGGTTTTAATCGTTATTTATAAACAAAAATAACACTCATTTATACTTTTTCTTTTGTAGCAGTGTGATGAAGGAGGAAGAAACCGATACACCCACAGCTACTCACGAGCAAACGGCTTCACTGAACTAGGAAGAAGAGGCCGTCACACGAATAGAAGAAGGAGAGGAACCAGTAGTTAAACGGTGACTAGCCACGGTGGAGGAACGATGATGCGAAGGAAGAAGAAAGTTCCCACGCACCCACAACAACTTCTCGGACAGAGAACAAGAGGACGATGGCGAAATAGGGACGAGGAAGAACATCGCGATTTGGATCTGTAACAGCGGCAAACGGAGCTCTTGCACACAGCCATGCCGGTGACAGGTTAAAGACAGTGGAGGAAGGAGGAAGAAGATGAAGGGAGAGGGAGAAGGGAAGGTGCACGCCAGATCAGGTTTGACTGAACGCCGACTCATGTATTGACTACGTTCTAGTTCAGAGATGGAGGCCAAACTTTGACCCATGGAATGCTAATAAACACCAGAAAATAGCTACATGGGTTCGCATACGTAACGTGTCGGTGGAATTCTACAATCATGAATCAATGTGGTGTCTTGGCTCTATGATAGGGCGAACGCTTAAGGTGGATCTGGTAACGTTAATGAGATCCAGGGGTCGTTTCGCGAGGGAAATCATCAGGATGCAACAGATAATGCTTATAATCTAAGGAAATATTTGCATAGGTCATATACTCATGTATTGGATATTTTCATTTTACTTTTTTTCTTATATCCACCTTATTTGCATGACATGTGTAATCATTCAGCCAAGATGGAGGTCTCCTCACTCATCTTGGAGGTGGCTGGATGCATTCAGGATCCATAGGAGATGGGTTACTGTAATAATCCAAGTATTTTAAGTAAAGATTTAAAATATATAATATTGTGTTTTAACTGTTTTTATGTTAGTTTTGAAATAAATTAACAAGAAGAGGAATTGGCTAAGTGGAGATTATGTTGCCATTTGTGATCACAAGTTCGAACCTTTTGAGTTCAAGAGTGAAAAAAATGTTTTTTTTAATTTTTTTTTTCACAGCTATTTAATAAAATTACCAAAATGCCCTTCTGTAGTGAAAAAAAGAAAAAACCAGAGACAGAGATCTAAAATGCACGGCTGCTTCTTCCTTCTCTATATTTCCTTCCCAATCGAAAACTCCAGAAACCATTGAGAGAGAGAGTTTCTATCTCCCTCCAGCCCACCGTCATTCCTTCCCTCCCTCCGTTCACTTCTCCCATCGTCCTCCGTTGCCCAGTTCATCACCGATGTGTAAGGGGCCGAGACCTGTTGAAGCTCTGTCGATCTCTTGGCTCTTTTGTCCTCCTTGCTTTACTGTTGTTGAGCTTTTTTTTCATCCTCGGTCCTTGCTGCTGTGCGTGCGTCGAACCTTCTTCTTCTTCCTTTGCCGTTGAAGTTGTTGTCTATATCCTCCCCTGTTCAACGCCGCATAGTTCTTCCTCTTCTTCTCTGTTTTGCCGTAGCTGATCTGAGGTAAGGGTCTTCACATTCTTCAGCTCTCTACTAATGCCATGTGTATAAGTTTGTTTTGGGGCTGAAGTTATGATTTTCCCTCCTTAATTTCCCTCCTTTCTACCTTAGTTAAAAAAACAAAAGAAATCTGTGCGTGTGTGCTGATTTGGGTTGGAGCAACTGTGATTCCTCCTCTTTGTTCCAACTGGTGCGAAAATGGGAGTGTAGAAGAGCATTTTTTTTATTTATGTAATTTCAGTATAATTGATGAATGGATTATTGTTGATGAAGATGAATGTGGATTGATTTTTTTTTGAGTTTAAAATTGATCTTTGTTGAAAGAACTAAATTAAGAACACTTGAAAGGAAATTGAAGAAGAAGAAGAAGTTTGCTATTGTAGTTTGAACTTTAAAGCACTTGTTCAATTAGATGTGTTGAAGAATTGGAGTGGAGTAATTTAGTATTTTCAATGCATTAGGCCTTATATTGTGCGTACAGATTTTGTTTTTTTTTTATTAATTTAAATTTAGGTTCTGGTTTAATGGGAAGCATAAAAAAAAATTATATGGATGTTTGAAAAATCTTTGGAAAAGAAGATAAACTTGGTATTAGTTTAAACTTTGAAGCATACAAGACGTATGATAAAATGACTGATTGTTAGGAAGAATTTTAGTATATAGTGGGATAAATAAACATGTTAATTGTATTAGTGATAATTAAGTTGATGTGGAAGATAATTATTCTCTTTAAGGGAAATGGAATTGAAGATAAGATTTTTGAAGAGAGTATTTTCATTAGTAATTTAGATACCAAATTTCTATTTTTGTATTGGTCTCTAGTATATCTATGGAAAATCTGTTGTAATGTTTGAGGTATGTGTGAAATAAAATTTGTCCACTCCACTCCTCTAAATTAATTTGGAGTAAGTAAAGTGTGATATGTGCACATATACATCCTTAATTAAAATTTAGCTACATGTGCTTGAAAAGAGTTGGGAAGACAAATTGTTATAAATAAAGTTCTATGTAGAAAGTGTGTGTGTTTATAGTGTGCTAGAGATTGAAGGATCAAATGTATAAATCGGATTGGGTCAAGAACTTAATTGATTGTGGTGTTGTTAACATGGGGAAAGAGGCTATTAAATTTGAATATATGCCATTAAGTTGCCTGTTCATTGGTTAGGGTGTTTGGAGGAAGGAAAATTTGATTAAAGCTCTAGATAGTGAATTCTAGTGCTGGGTAACAGTGCAGGCAAGTGAATAACACCCCCATTATTCTATCAATAAAAATAGTCTATTTTTGAAAATATTGCAATTTTATATAAGTCATTTTTTCAACGACTATGATAATTATTAAGTACTTCATAATTAAATTATTTTGGTTTTGAAAATTCTTGAATGATGTTGAAGGATAATTAAATTATAATATGTGCATGTATTTTCCTTAAGAAATATACTTTCAAGATTGATGAAGGCATCTTTGTTTATTTTACTCTGAAAATTCCTAGTTACTCAACTAATGCAAGTTTGTACATTAACTATGAAGTATTATTCTGGAAAGCTTTGAGATTTGAAGCAATTCATGCAAGTTTGGCATTGAGAATGCAAATCTTATTTTAGAAATGATTATTTTTTTCACATGTTTGAAATGTGATTTCTAAGAGAATTTTATACAGAACACTAGTTGTTAATGACAGTTTCGTTAGCCCTTGGCGCACCATGGTTAATGACTAGCTAGTTTAATTTTCATGAGCTCTGTTCTCACGTCTATTATTCGTGGGCCTTGTACCCACGTCTGTTTCGTGGCTTCAACTACGTCTGGTTAATCACCCTCGTGGATTGTGTGTCCACGTTTGTTTCATGGTTTCAACCACGTTTGGTTACTTATCCTCGTGGACTATGTGTCCACATCTGTTTTGTGGCTTCGACCATGTCTAGTTATTTTACCCTTGTGGATTGTGTGTCCATATTTGTTACCTGTTCTGTTAAGTTCTCAAAATTCTAAAGTTTTTTTTTATTAACTGGTGTATTTGAAATTTCAATGATTTCAATTAATAAGTGTGCTATTTTGATTTATATTTGAATAATTTGTTTTCTTCAGGCATGATTGAATAAAGAAATTCCAGTTTACTTTGATTTTATGATTATGATTAAAATTTACAGGCTTATGAAGTTTAATATATTGAATTATCATATTTTCAATTATTTTACATAATCGTTTGACTTATTATTTTCACTCTTTTAAATTTTATTTTTGGGTTACTATTCACTGAAAAATATTTTGGTCTCAGATTCATTAGTTAATGCTAAATCTCCTGTGGATCATTGAAAGGTCTATCACTAGTTGGGAAATGGAGAATGTGGTAGGTTTTGATGTAAAATTTGAATTATGAAACTGTATCTTGTAAATTAAATTTTAGGTACTCCACATATGTTATAACTAGAATTCTTATTTTGATATATATATATATATATATATTCCGTCTGCTGGCTGGAAGGAGGTAGGCTCCTAGTTAACTGATATTTGATTGAAAATTTGTATTATAAAATTTTAGGAAATCTTTGTACATGAGAGATTTTGTCAGAATGTCCACACAAAAAAAAAAAAATATTAAGGCAAAATTTTAAATGACAATTATTTTAAAAATAAAAAATTTCTTGAATTAGGCTTAAAGGATGTGTGTTTAGGTGCATATCTCGTGCCAGTTATACCTTATTTTCTGGGCGTGACAGTTACCTTTCTCCTTCTCATGCAAAGGTGGTGGATCTAGTTCTGAAAGTGTTCGCTGATCATTGGGAGCACTATGGTCTCCAATAGTCAATGGAGACTCATTCTCAAACAAGAAAGGATCAACAACAGTAAAAGCTGTAGGTTTATCTTGTCCAGAAATAATTTTATCACAAAAAGGTAATTTATTTTCCATAAAAGTCACATGTCTACTCACAAACATTTTCTTAGTTTTAAGATTATATAAGATAAAATACTTTTGATTAGGAGGATAACCCATGAAGATACATAGTTCACATCTAGGCATAAATTTATCAACAAAATGTAAAATAGTAGCAAAAGGAAGACACCCGAAAACCTTTATACAAGATAAATCTGGTTCTCTTTTGTGCAAAATTTCATAAGGAGTTTTATAGCCTAAAATTTTTGAAGGTATTCTATTGATTAAGAAAGTAGCAGTCTTGACACTTTCCCCCCAAAATTTTAAAGGCATGCTTGAGTGAAAAATTAAACTCTAGGCTACCTCTAGTAAATGTTTGTGTTTCCTTTCAACCACCCCATTTTGTTAGAGGGTGTAAGGACAAGAGGTTTCATGCAAGATACCTTCATTATTAAACATGTTTTTAATTTCAGAATTTATAAACTCAAGGCCATTATCACTCCTAACTTTCTTGATTTAAGAAGAGAATTAAGTATGAACATAAGCAAGAAAATTTCGAATACATTACACAGTCTCATTCTTGTATTTTAACAAGTATAACCAAGTACACCGAGAAAAGTCATCAACAATGCTAAGAAAAATCTGTGACCATTATATGTAGGTTGCTTATATAGTCCCTAAACATCTAAATAAATCAATTCAAAGTAAGAAGAGGTTTTAGAAGTACTAGAAGAGAAGGGCAGTTTTGTTTGCTTAGCATGAACACAAACCTCACATTTATTCTGAGTGGTGGTATTATTAACTTCTATATTCAGCTTTTCTAAATGCCTAAGGGTATTTAAAGGGGCATGATCTAACCTATTGTGCCATAGAATTGAATTCTGTTCCTTATTTATGCAGTGATTACTCACAGCCATAATGTTTTTAAATTTTATATCCTTCCCAAACAAGTATAACCCTTTGCTGAGTTTACCAATCTTTCAGGAGCTCCTAGTTGAGATCTCCTGCAAGGTACAAAATTCAGGGTAAAAAGATACAATGCACTCTGCATTCTTAGTTACTTTTGAGATAGAAATTAGATTAAAACAACATTGTGGTGAATAATAAACATCAAACAGAATCACATTATTAAATAATCTCATAGATCCAGTATGAGTTACAGTGATTTTATCTCTGTTAGGCATTTTAATCAGTCTTAAAGGCCCAGCATATGGTCTAGTAAAGTCTAACATGGTTAGACTACTAATAACATGACAAGACGCACCAAAATCTAGTATCCAATTAGAAGTATAAATTGAAGGGGGAAGAGTATTAAGCAAACCTGACACGCGTTCCTTAATGTAGTCAACCGTTCCTACTGCCACCTCATTTGCTTCTTTCTTCAGGAGTTGCAGTATTTGATCATAC